TTTGGAAATCGAGTTAAGAAAAGATGATGGTGTTTGTTATATATTGAAAAAGTCCTCATAAGGGCATAAAGCCCTATGCTTTTTACTACTGTAGTAGTAACTGTGTATGCATTTTAAAGGAAACAGGGTTGCATGTTGCGTGTGTGCTATGAAAATAGCGCTTGATCTTTGACCAGATCTTTACGACAGGAAATGTCATTATCTATAAAGGGATTCCATATGATGTATGCATTTATAATATAATTAGCTAAATAAGGCACTTGAGAAACAAATTAGTGGTACATAACTCCATTTTGTATTTTAGGTTAATATTGGTGTGACCCTCTGTTCTTTGTTAACGTTGGATTTAGCTTAGACTACAGTAAATGTGATTGCTTAATGATCACAATTGTAAGCAAAATAAACATCTGATATGATGTAATGTTTTGAAGTGAATCAGACTTTACGAGGAGTCATTGATATCAGATATCAAATGGTCTTAAAAAGTACCCAAATCATAATTTTTTCCTCAATTATTCAGTCAACCACTGCTGCTGAACACTGAAACTGGAGACTTATAAGATGAAATGTGGGTGTTTTTCTGAGGAAAAGGGGAGGAGGAGGAGGATGTGAAAATAAGAAAGAAACTGCATTTGTTGTTAAATAAGATCAGTCTGACAGTTACGTTGGTGTCTAGTTGTAATAATTCATATTTAAACACATGTACTGCAGTATTGGACAGTCAAGGGATCAGTGCATGTGTGTGTTATTAACAATACAGTAGCCTACTTCCCATATTGTATATGTTAAGGAAAAGCTAAACTGACTCTTCACTGTATTCTGCTCAGTGAATCCCATTACACTTCAGCAGAGTATGCAATGATTACAGTTTACAGAGTGGATGTAATCAGGCTCACTGAATTGTGACTTTGTCCCTTTTTCTCATTCATCTTGTGAATAATTTACATAATTCGGCTTTCATTCCCATCTTTCTGACAGTTTCAGTTATAGGATTTTTCTCATTCCTTACTTGTCCTCGCCTATTCATTACAAACTCCTATTCTTTATTCAACGTCTCCTTCGCTATCCTTGACAATCTTTCCCTCTTTTTCTGTTTGGTGTGTGTGTGTGTGTGTGTGTGTGTGTGTGTGTGTGTGTGTGTGTGTGTGTGTGTGTGTGTGTGTGTGTGTGTGTGTGTGTGTGTGTGTGTGTGTGTGTGTGTGTGTGTGTGTGTGTGTGTGTGTAGACTGTAAATTCATTTTGTATGACAGCAAGGCTTAAATTGTCAAAGATGTCCTTTAGAATGATTACCCTCAATTACAGCATTCCGCTACAGACTGACAGTCACTTTATGGCTTTCCTCTACTCGCCATTGCTTTTCTCCCACTCTCACACTGATGGGGGTCAAGGGTTCCTCCCTAAACTGCCAGTCGCTCATTTTCAATGTCTCTCTCTTGACTTCATCCTCTCAGCGGGGCTGTTAATCCAGACTTTCCCCTTGTAACCCTGACACTGCTGAGAGGAGAGCACACAGGAGAAGAGAAAATGGGCAATAATATAAATAAATAGCCTGGCAGGCAGGCTTTGTAGGTGCAGTATAAATCTCTCAGCTTTAGAGAGATACTTTATTTAGGATTATTTGAGCGGTACAATCTAGTTTTCACAATTTATGACCATCCATTTTTAAGTCAGTGATATTGATTTAAAATAGTTTCATAAGCCCAGTAGGTCATGTGTATCAAACACCCTCAGATCCAGGGTGTAAAATACCCTGGATCTGACTCACGTTTCAAGTTAAGAACTGGGATGTGAAGGGAAAACAGATGTAATACCATGATGCTCAAGTAAGATGAGTCTCTGTATGCAATACAAAAGATGCTATTAAGGAACTTTACAGCACCTCCTGTTGCATGACAATACATTTGTGTCCAAAGACACATTAGAGAGACATGCTGCAGGTCTGAGAACTGTTGTTGGTAAGTGGTTCAAGCATTTGTAAAAGTTTAGAAAGAAGATGCAGAAAAAGCTGAAAGTCAAACTGTGATGTGAAGTGAATGAAAATGTTTAGTCTCATTAAGGCGTATACAAACCAGTTTGACCCTGCGCTTGTGCCAAACTGCATATGAAATGCACCACAACAAATTACAATTTTCCATATTAGGGAATTGAATGAATGTGTCTTTCAGGCACAGACTGGATAATAAGTGAAAATATTATTATGGAAGTAAGGGGACTTTTCTGTAGTCATAAGAGCAGTAAGAAGGTAAAGACCGGAGGCATCCACACAGAGCACAGGAGGGAGAAGTATAATTCCGTTTGTGCATTCGTATTTGTAATACGTGTTATTCTACAGGTATATCATAATTGTGGAAATTGTGTTACGTACAGCATCAGAAGGACTTGCTGATTACGGTTATTTTCAGCTAATGGAGACCACTATCAATGTAACTTAATAACTCTTGTGTAATATATTAGTGTTTGTTTATTTGATGGCAGCTGTGGGGGAAATAACAACAACACAAATACTGTACTTGAGTATAATCTAGAAGTACTTGTATTTGAATAGAGTATTTCCATGTTATGCTAATTTAAACATCTAATGCACTTCATTTCAGATGCAAATGTGTGTTTTCCTGCACTATACATCAATTTCACAGATACAGCTTCTGGTGACTCGATTTCAGAATGTGGTATGATGTACTGCCAAGACCTTTCGATAATTGTATACATTTAAGTGTATACATTTCACATTACACCATGTAGTTATAAAAGATTCTGTTACACATGTGTATTGACCAAAATTGCACACCATTAGTGTATAAATGAATTCAGTGGTACAAATGTGTATTTAGGTTACACAATGTCTGCATTCTTCATCAAATTCACACATATAGCACTACTTACACGTATGTACACTGTGTACTCATCTGGTGGTGGGACGTCTTAAGCCCCCCTCTGGGCCTCATAAAGCATCGACATTTCGTTCTCTCTACAGTCAATGAATATCTGTGGGAACATTCAAAAAGGTAAAATAATTAGCATATTGTAATATTACAAAACAAGATCACTCCTGCACTTTAAGACTCCACTGTTACAGATGATTGTAGTACATCTGAAACCTCCACACCCGTAAACATAACACAGTCACACACAAGTCCCTATACTGTATAGCAGTGGTTCTCAACTGGTTAGGCCTCGGGACCCACTTTTTACTTGGTCAATACATCGCGACCCAACATTTTGAAGCACTCAAATCTATTCAACAAAAAATCGTGCTCTAATATACGCTTTTCAGAATACAATATTAATAAAAGTGAAGTACAGTGCATATATCCCTTCACAGAACTAAAGTATGCTTTTAAAAAAGGTTCAATGAGATGATGGAATCAAAGCTGAACTATATAAAAAGGCACACATGCTGAAAACCCAACCCCAGCAGGGGGGTCTGGGGGGATTCTTTGAAATACTAACATAAACTACGCATTCTGGTACACTCTGAGAAGAAAATAAATAAATCATACATATTAATAATATTTTATGCCATTGTTTGTTTTTCACTTAGTTCTGACAGCTTGCTGAGAGAAGAGTAAAGAGGAGATAGTCTGTGTGACTTACTTTGAATTGTGGGTAAGGGTAGATAGCTCCCATTGTTCTGTGACCTGTCAATCATCAAACCGGGGGTCATATTTCATTATGTGTTCATTTCTATCTGAAGTTGTACCCATGGATGTATAAAGAGTAGTTCTACCGCTAAGTTATTTTCCGTGGGGACTTCCGGCAACAATCTTGATTCTGATTGGCCAGAAGACTCGAAAAAACATCAGCAGAGATGTTTTATTGAGAAGATGATCACTACGTGACAGAAGTTTTCAAACACGTTTATGGTCTCCGGTACTTCCAGTCCAACGCCTACTGCATGCACAGCGTTAGAGAATCGGTTCTTCAAAATAAAAGTTTGCCTTTTTTCCCAAAAAAAAAAAAAAAAAATTCAAAAAAAAATGTTCACCTTTTTTTTTTCTTCACTCACACATCCGCGACCCACTTGAAACGGGTCCGCGACCCACTTTTGGGTCGCGACCCACCAGTTGAGAACCACTGCTGTATAGTATATACACTTATGCAAATGAAGCAAGTACATTTGCACACAAACCTGTGCAGGGCTGTATTCTCTAACAAGCTGTGTTACAGGCTCCTCGGCCACATTGAATTTATAATAGAAAGTCCATGTCGAAAAGCATAAAAAAGTTCTCTTTCAAAATAATCTCCTGAGTTTATGGTAATGAGGATTTATATACAAGCAGCATCACTCTTAACCCAGGGTGATTAAACATGTCTCTTCCCTTTGTTGGCTCCCTTCAATATGTAAGTAGAGGTGAAGTCGTTGAGGAAATAGAAAAGCTATGAATACATTTTCTCGATATCTTCTCACATAAATTCCTTCAAAAAAAGATTGCCTATAAGCGACTTTCCTCGACTGCAATGAATATGTTTTGGCAGCGGTTCATGCTGTGTATGTAAATACATTTTGAAGTGAAGGATGGTATTTAATTTGTTCATGGAAGCAGCGTCTGATCTTGGAGACTGTGTAAAGCTTCCAAATTATAAAACATGGAGACATATTGTTAACAGTATGGTTTGTTTTGCCATCACTGAACAAAATAACAGACTAATAAGGATATATGCATGTTCTCACAAATTAACTGGTAGTGAGAGATAAATATGATTGTAAGAGTACACCAGAGAAATAATACAATCAGAGATGGAAAGGCAAACAGCCAAAGCGTGCTTTTCAGTTGTCTGATTACAAACTGTGCAAATGACGCTTCACAGTGTGTATTGTTGCTAATTGGTTTTCAGGCACTGTAAGAATAGCTTTTGGCTGATGATCTACAAAATGACTTTGTGGTCTGTCCTGTCTGAGGTTTGCTTTTCTTTGTTTTTAAATTGCCTTAAAGTGGAAACAAACAAACTAACAATTGTGTCCCCCCCTCCCTTTTTCTCTGTTTTGATGTTTGGTCAAGATGGGAAATGCCTCCGAAACATTTCTGCTCATTTCGAAAATATCGAAAGACAGTGACATCCTCATGGGAACTATATACGTCATTATGGGTAAGTGATATTCCATAAAGCCTTAATTTGTGTAAATGTGTGTGTTTATATATATATATATATTTGAGTGTTGTATGTCCTTTAAGAATGGACATTGAGTCTCTTCAATAAAGCTGATGATGATGATGATTTATATGCAACAGCACCAACACATCCTGCACTCTGTCTCCTAGGTGTGCTGTCGATACTGGGAAATGGGATCCTGCTGTTTGTGGCCTATAGAAAGAAGTCCTCCCTGAAGCCTGCAGAGTTCTTTGTGGTTAACCTGGCCATTAGTGACCTCGGCATGACAATATCCCTGTTCCCACTCGCCATCCCCTCTGCATTCACTCACATGTGAGTGACCATTCAAGTTTCCACCACCTTCTATCTTTTCATACTGTATATCATGTGACTCTGCAATCTTCATAGTTAATGTTTCCTCGAGGGACCAGCAGATGCTTGAGCTGCCTTCAAGGACACTGATGTTTTGTGCCTCTTTGTATCTGAAGAACTGCAGAAATCTATATTTGCAATATGCACATTTTAATTACAGATTTCTTAAGGCTGATTTAGTTCACACTGAATATATCTGTATTCAATCTAGATTTTAATATTATAAAGGGAAAATAACCAGTACATCTATAAAATATTCTTGTTTTTTATTTAAATAAAAAATGTGGGGAGCAGTAGGAGGTCTTTGCAAAAGATGTAACACTTTCACTCATAGAGATAAAATAAATAATTATATAAAAGGGTCAAACTTGAAAGAGTGTAGGATGACATGTTACCGTTAATTCACAACAACCTATTTACAAGGTAGTCGCAAACTGTATCCGTTTACTATCAAGTTCACACATTGAGTTTTGACTTTAATTTGTTTTACTGAAAACAGCTAAAAACACAGTGAGATGAAATACACTATGAAGCTTATAAAGCTCGGGGAGCCGCATATTGTGTGGTTATTCTCTGGTTCCTCATTGTGAGCGACCCTTTGACACAGTTATTTGAGACAGTGTTATTAAAAAGATGGTAATTGCTGCTTTAAGCTCTACAAACAGCAGTGCACGATTTGTGGACTTTTTTAACAGGCTACACAAAGCGCAGCCCACCTTGTAGGTAGGGGGTTTTCCAACCATCTGCAGCTGTCATGTCAGTGCTGAAAAACAGTTATTTGCCTTTTTCTGTCATGACCTTTTACATTTCCCTAACAAGACACGATGGACTAAACATCACTAAAATAATTGCTCTTTGTATTTAAGATGCAAGACAACATTCTCTATTTAGGTCACACCTTATTCCAATTAGATAATCATTTACCTCCTATTTCATTATGTTTCTTTCAATATGTACTCCTAACTCACATTATTAATTCCACATTTTAATAAATAAATGGGATACAAATAAATAAATATCTGTAATAAAAATGATGGTGGACAGACCAACATTCTTTTGGTAGGGGATTGACCTCATTCCTGTAGAGGAGCATTATGTAATAAGATAACTAATACAAGAAAACAATTGCCATGATAGGTTTAAAAGGCATCACTACTCACTGCAGTTGTGTAAATAAGAGGAAAGGTGCGAAAATGTAGCTCCTGCTTTTTCTCCTGGGTTTTATTCACAATAAGAATGTTGCTAAAAAAAATCCTTCAGTAACAAATGTTCTCTCCATCCAGGTGGCTGTTCAATAAGACCATCTGCACTGGCTATGCCTTCTGTGGCGTTTTGTTTGGCCTGTGCAGTCTGACCAACCTCACTGTGCTCTCCAGCGTCTGCTGGCTCAAGGTCTGCTGCCCAAACTATGGTAGGACCACCACTCTTTTTGCTTTAATTCATTATTCTATGTACAAAAAATAGAATCCTTAATTTAGTAAAACAACATACCATTTCAAAGCAGAGGAATGTGCTAAAAGTACTATAGACATGGTATCATGAGTTGATTCTAGTTCTCCACTGAAGCCAAACATATTGAATCTTAAAGGGGACCTATCGTGCAAAATGCACTTTTTGATGTCTTTTATACATAAATATGTGTCCCCGGTGTGTCAGGGAACCCACAAAGTGTCAGAAAATAAAACCCTCTCTCTTTTCCTCGTACCCAAATCTCGAAAAACAGGGGTACAATGGAGCTGATCCAGATTTGCGTCCGATATGACGTAATTTACGTCATATCGGACATGCGGAACCACGGCACTATCAGACAGTTGCTATCAGAAACAATGCCTGACGTGTTTTGGACCTAATATGGTCTTTGTTGACATTAGCAAGCATCGCTAACACCCAAAGCTAACCTGTACTGGAGAGAGTATGTGTAAAAAAGCAGGAAAGCATTTGAGCTCCATACTGTTTCAGAAATAATCCTTGATGTGGTTTGGAACATGATGGTGTTTAATCACGGCAGAATTTAACTGTATCTGCCGGGCATTAGCTCCCCCTTCTCTTTTTTTTTTTTCAAGTTAAGGACCCAAAATCCGCTTTTGTCTAACAGGGCTGGAATAGAGGGATATGAGGGATGTCTAAAATGCATGATCTGTCTGGTATTTTGAGCAAAACACAGCATAGACATGTTTTTATATATTTGTATATATCTGAGACCCATAATATATGCCTAGAAATATCATAATAGGAGATCTTTAAGAGGGAAATGTTAATATAGAGAGACAGGAGACTCAAGGGCTTGTTTGTTGTTAAAGTGGACCTATCATGCTATATTTAAATGATATATTGTAGGGCCATACCTATATAAGGTATATTTATACGTTTCTGTTTTCAAAATACCAAACAGATCATGCATTTTAGCCATGCCTCATTTCGCTCTATGTGCTGTTTGCTGTCTACGGGGCTGATTCTGTGAGCTGCAGCTGACCACGCCCCCCTGCAGGAGAGGGGAGCCGTGCTCTGATCAAGTCAAGAGGGGGAGAAAAAAAGATCTCCGTCCTCCGTGTTTTATTATATTGTTATAGGCCTATAGAGTCGTTATTCATTTGTTTTAAAGCTCAATAAATAACAAAGAAGACCTTTGACCGGCACTTTTCTAATTTTGTCCGGAAGATTTAAACTTTAACGGACATCTTGACCGGCGAAAGAAACTGAAACTGAAACTCTGCCACACGGTCCCCTCGTTCCTTGGAAGAGGCGGAGAGGTGGGTGTTTGTCATCTGCTGGTGGACTAACCGGAGAGCATTACAGTGCTTGCCTCGACGGGGAGGGATTGCATTGAATTAAAGCAGCGGGAGCAAACGCTTGCCTCGGGGAGGGAGAAAAAAAGCCACAGCGGAGAATAAACAGAAGGGTAACCATGGTAACTATGGGCGGGAAGTCTTCTTCGCTGCTTTTGTAGCAGACTACAGCGCCACTTACAGGCCTGGCATATGTACTACAGCGTCTCCAGCGCTTTCGAGCGGCAATGGCCGGCCGTGGCCCAACCCCACATTCCCCTGATAGGTGGAGAGTTGGCCCAATAGCCGTAGCGCCACCGTCCTGACGTCAGGACAGTGTTCAAATCTGGATCAGTTTTTATCAGATCCGTTGCAGCCCCTTTTTTAGAGATTTGGGTATGGAGGAAAATAGAGAGGGTTGTGTTTTCTGACACTTGGTGAGTTCCCTGGAACACCGGGGACACATATTCATGTATAAAAGACGTACAAAAGTGCATTCTGCATGATAGGTCCCCTTTAAGTAAAGTGTCCATGCTGCAATAATGTTAATGTTCAAGGCCATTGCTTAACCTCTTGAAACAGCAGCATTATGTAGATAGGGATGTGTACAAGGCCTAATGTTTCAACTTCCCCTTTTAATGTATTCCACTGCTGAGTCTTATCTTCCAATTATTGGTCTTGCATGAATTCCTGGCTGCATGTTTTGGCTATGTCCATATTGTCAGTGTTTATTAATTACAATTTGTGAGTTCATAATTTTTCTTTACTTAATCTAATGAAAGTCAAACTTGTCACAAGCTTTCAAGTTTGATCATTGAAATCAAAAGAAGCTTTAGCAATTTTAGCAAAAAAAAATGTTCTCTACTGTACATCTTTGCACTCGCTCACATCCAACAAAAAAACAACTACAACAACACAACGTATCTTACTGGAGGTGGCAGCTCAAAGACAATACAGTGCAGTTTGAACAACAGCAGAGCCGTCGGTGCTAGGAAATAATGTTCAAATTGAAAATCTAATCAAATAATTACCTTAAAATAGAAAGTGAAATCCAATAGTTGATTTGGAGAATCTTGCCACCCCTGGTTAGTGGTGAATGATAGACTGAGTGAAGGGGAGATTTACATTCAGTAGCAACATTGTGTGTGACTTGAATTGTAATTTATGCTATACAGAATTGATTAAGCAGGCAGACAATTAGTGTTTAGCTTGATGATGCATACTGCACTTGCTAATTGTCACATGGATACTGTACTGTGAATTTCTTCAACTGAATATACAGATGATTGCAACATTCTCAAGCCGCTCATTGGTAATGGGCATAATTAATCATTTTTCCGCTTAAGCCATTGAGCATTTATTCACATGATTGCCTGTGTCTAAATCTATTTAACTTTCATTGACAGTTGATTAAGGATCCTTATCTTTTTTTATACAGTTTTTGAAAATATATAAAACCTCTGATTTGCAATGGAATCTTTACCATTTACTATTGATTGCTATACACATTTAAATGTCTTTCTTATTTTGTTTTACTATTTGCAAATTAAACCAGCATTACATTGTTTTCTTTCTGTGGAAATGTGATCATTTGTCACACTTGGCCACAATTCCTATTCCTAATTAAAATGAATTAAAGAACATGGAAAATGCAGTATAACCAAATTAGTATCAACAGTAGACTGTATATAATTACATTTCACACAGAAACAACATAATGAATGCTCTTTATGGCCATGTTCTGGGAATGGATGCACTGCTGAACTACAGATGCTTCACTCCAGGAGTCTTCTACCTGGAGTGCAGAAATCCAGGGATGTTCCCATTGATATGCTTCACACATTCACACTCGCCCATACACACTGCAGGGGTACAAAGACTGGAGCCAATCTGACACATACTGTTTCAATCGGATTTATAATGCCTGAGATGATAAAAGATGCATGAACAAAGCATCATTAATAGGGGTGTTGAATTGACTTTCGCGCTGTGGTACAAGTCAAACTTAGCTGGATATTAAACAGATCTGATGCTAGAAAATGTAGCCCACCACACCCAGCTGCCTCTGACTAGAACAAGAGGTTTATTCCAGACTCCAGTGGTTTCAACAAATGCTGGTAATAGGACCAATACAATTGAAGTTAAGGCTTTATTTTTAAAGTGCTTCTCTTCTCTCCAGAGAATCTATAATATGAAGCATAAAACCCAAGGGACTATAAGCCTCACAAATAAAAGTGTTTAAAATGCAAAGTAGAATACATAATTAAGCCTTTATGAGACTTCCCTTGCAGTAATGTATGAACATTACATACACACCAATAAAACATTCCGTCCTCTTGTTTCTAAACTAGCGTATACTCTCTTGAAAACTAGAATAAATTAATTTGTATTGCTTTTGAAGCAAAAGCTGAATCATGTATTAAAAGTGGGGTAGGTAAGTTTGAGAAACCGGCTCGAGATACACTTTTTGTTATATTCCATGGAATGCTCTTAACATCCCGATAGCAATGAATATCTCAAGTGCTTTGACAAAACATACATAAAAAAATGTAATCTGTGGAAGCCATAGTACTGTAAAAAGCACGACCAATCATTTTAGCCGGCTCGGCTAAAATAACTGGATGGCCTACCTGCCTGTCAGCCTTCCATCTGTGCACAAACTTATCTCGTGCCCTCATTGGTCATGTGCTTGTTCGTGTGTGTTGGAGGAGGGGCTCTGTAAGGAAGTGGCAGATTTTTTCCGGTTGTGTATTTTCAAAATCTAGTGCACTCGAGCTGGTTTCTCCAAAAAGTACCTACCCCACCTTTAACTGTAAAGCCTTGAACAAAAAAAACTATCAAGTTAGGAGCACAAAAAACTCAAAGCATAATCTTCCAAAATGAAAAGAGTTGGTTCATAAGGACAAAACAGGAATTGTAGGGTGCTTTGAATAATTATAAGAAAATAAACATGTGGTGGAGGAACTGTGTTTTTGGAGAACCAAAAAGTATGTTAGAAGATTGAGTTACTGAGGGTGAGGAGAGTAAAAACCATGATAACCGTTATGGGCTGTTGACACAAGGTTCAGTTTCCATGTCTGGAGTTATTATGTCGAGCTTATGCCGTCAAATTCAACACGGGCAACTGTATCAGTTGTCAAAGGACAATAAACGGTGGTTTACTTGGATTGAATGTGTGGGTCTTCTGAATTTTTTATTTAGAAACGCTGACATTTTTGCAAAAATTAAATAGTCGTGCAACTAAAACCGTATGTGATATTGCTGAAATATTTTTTACTAAAGAACATGCTCCAAGGTGCAGCTGAAGAAACAAACACTTGGCAGAAGAGATGAAGCATTCGGTAGAAGGGTCCTATCTTGTATAATTTTGTGTCACTGCTTACCTTTTATGGGTATTGCTATTCCTATTGAACTCCTGAAGACAAACAATTAAGCCCCCACTTGGGGATCCAACAGCAACATTAAGGTATTGGGTTTAAATTGAAGCCACCAATGAATGCTAATGAACTTGTCAGCACTGGATCGAAGTCCATCACACAAAGAGCTAAGGATGTGACTCTGACACATTCTCGTACTCAAAATAAGTGGGTCTAATGACAAAAGAGAGGTGAAGAATGAAGAGGGTATCTGGGAAAATGCTTTACAGTTACAGAGGACTGCCAGAGAGTTAACTGGCAGCGATGTGTGTCACCTGTTCTGACCTTAAGTGATGTTGCCTGTGAAAATTGACATATTTTAGATACTATCAAGCTTAATTCAATTTCAAATCACTATCAAAACTGACATATCTCACAAAATGAAGGAAGAATATTAAATGGTACATACAGTGACAGTGAGCATGGTTCACTAAAAAGGTAAAAGCTGGTGTCAGCAATTCCATTTAATTCAAATTCATAGACTGACTGGTTTCTCCTTGTGTAATAGAAACAGGATTAATCAATGAATACTCAATACAGCCCAAAAGGGGGGGGGGGAAGCTATAAAACATGTATACAGTAACTATCTCCAAATACATCTTCAAGGACACACACATCCTATATACTGGGTTTTTATCAGGTTTGAAATTGACCTCATTACTGTAAAGTTGTAATCTAAACATTTCAGTCCTGGTTGATTTGGCTAAATCCATTTTATAATTTAAAAAAAATTGTTTTGTCAGTTAAACAATTCAGTTGTAAAGCATGAACATTAAATATTTCCATCTGCATTAGCAGTTACGTAACTCAGCCCTTTTACAGTGAAAAGAGAGCGAGCCATCAATGAGATAAAAGCTGAATAACGCTCATGTATAATTGTCTGATTTCTCAATCCAGTGCAGAAATTGCATTATCTGGCACTAACCATAAAAATAACATAAAAAGTACAAAATTATGAATTTATACCAACATGGGTAATGCAGGGATAATTCTACTCACACTAGTTTGAAGGCTTTTGTTCGATATTGAGTTCAGCCATACATGAAAAAACTCAGGTTGAATACAACATGTTCCACCCGAATAACTGGAGAGTCTGATCAATGAATGGATGCTTCATATTAGATAAAAGCTGTCTGTAATGGCTAACCAGCCACCTTCACTAGATCCATACTGTTCAGTGAGAGCCACAAGGCTTAATCACCCCTCACCCTTAGCTTGAAGGGTAAGAGGGGCTGACATCCAACTGAAGAGGCTGTGTGGTACATTAGATAAGGCTCCCTGTGTTCTCCTTATTGATTCCACACTGAATACATCCTTGTCTGACTCAATTAGAGTAGACAGTTCAGTGTTTTCCATGAATCGCTTTGTACACATTCTGGCACGAGAGAAAAGACAATCAGGTGCTCAACCACTAATCAACATCTCGCAAGATCTCTGTATGCATGAGAATAAATCAGCAAGTTCTGACAACGTTTGCTAATATACGAGTTATAGCGTGCATAGGGAAATATAGTCTACATTTTCAAATGTCTTTTCTTTGGCCTCTTAATAAACATGCTGTCTGGCAACTATCCATACACACAGAACCGTCTATGTTTGGGTCCCCCTCTGGCATTATGGAAATTGCCAACCGCACATGCATTCCTGTTGGCCATGTGATATCTTATCTGAACAGGATTAAATTAATGTATCTCAACTGTTATCCATGTTGTCTACAGTATAAAACAGTAGTTCATTTTTCTTGTCAAAATAACATAATAATAATGAATGAATAATATCCATTTTAGGAAATCCCTATCAAGTTGATCATCAACTTTTGTACAATATCATCCCATTTCCTCCTCTTTTCCTCCTATTTTTCCTCCTCGCTCATTGCCTGTTGTCAGCATCAGGTAACCAGACCTAATATGCTTTAATAGCATATGGTTGCTATGCTGTTGTTTCTGTATCCTTCCTTTATGTCCTCATCTGTCAGTAATCACTCCCCAAACTCTCCCTCCTATACCTCTATCTCTACCCTGCTATGTTCTTCCTCAGGTAATAAGTTCTCCTACTGCCATGCCTCCATGCTGGTTGCTGGGGTCTGGTGCTATGCTGGAGTGTTTGCTGTCGGTCCCCTGTCGGGCTGGGGAGAATACGGGCCCGAGCCTTACGGTACAGCATGCTGCATCAACTGGGAAGCTCCAGGCAGAAGCTTTGCAGCTATGAGCTACATCATATGCCTTTTCTTCTTCTGCTACATTGTGCCCAGCACTGTCATTTTCCTATCCTACACATTCATACTAATGACAGTCCGGGGCTCCCGCCAGGCTGTGCAGCAGCACATGCCCCCGCAGAATAAGATCAGCAATGCACAAACACTTATAATCAAGGTAAGTACAATTTCCAACATACTTCAACTTATGTAAATACATATCCACTAGGGGTGTAACGGTTCACAAACATTTCGGTTCGGTGCGTACCTCGGTTTTTAGGTCACGGTTCGGTACGTTTTCGGTACAGCAGAAAGGGCAGATCTGCTGGCACTAACAATGTCTCCTGCTGTGGAGAACACCCTCTCGCTAGGGACAGAGGTAGCAGATACAGCCAGGTAGCGCTTTGCTAACATGGCACTGAACTTTTTGCAAGTGGTGGTGGCTTAAATGCTAGTGGGAGTTGGGTTTGCACTTCAGTCATTTTTATTTTGGTACCGGTGATATTCACGTTCGGGTGATGCCTTTTCAAATGAGTGTGCAAGTTTGAAGTATTGTCAGCCGCGTAATCAATTTTAGTTGAACAATGCAGACAAACAGCTTTGGTTCGGTCCACCTGTCTTTGTCCGTCATCTTTGTACGTAACTGCGAAACCAAAATGTTCCCAAACCGGATACTTCAGTGATGCTGGAGGATTTTCGAGCTCAATTTTATCTGCGTTCGCCATTTCGACAGTTCTCCAAACTACTGACTAAATTTGAACGCATCCCTGTGACCAGCTCTCATAGTATGCCTCTCGTCCAATGAAATGACTTGGTCGCTCTATGACGCTTTGAAACCAATTTGAGCAAATTACACTGAACTCTGCGACGCAGCACCTGAGATTACTTCCAAAAAGTTTTTCACTTTCTCAATGTTTTACGTTTAACGTTATATTCGTTCTGTACACTTCGGTACACACGTGTACCGACCCAAAGGGCCCATACCGAATATTTTGGGTACGAATATGTATACTGTTACACCCCTAATATCCACATGACCCATTTATGTTGTTTATTGTGTCTCTTTTCAGCTCTCAGTGGCCGTTTGCATCGGTTTCCTGACAGCATGGAGTCCATATGCCATTGTGGCCATGTGGGCTGCATTCGGTGACGCACTAGAGGTTCCAGCCATTGCTTTCGCTTGGGCAGCTATCTTCGCCAAGTCCTCAACTCTTTACAACCCTATTGTTTATCTGGTCTTCAAGCCCAACTTCCGCAGGTCCCTTTGTCGAGATGTGGCGCTGTGCAGAAGCACACTCTGTGGATGTCAGCACAGCTCCCCATCAAAGGGAACGTGCAGTCAATTCAATCACAAAGAAGAATGCAACTCCACACAGTTCTCCAATGGACTACCGGAGAACCACGGGACCACCTGCAGACACTGTGCTTGCCCTGAAGCAGTCACTGGTGCCAGAGAAAACTTAACAGAATACATCCCCCAGCAGACTTTCAGGATACTTAAAGGATCAATACACTGTGAGGTGGCAGAGAGTCAGCTTTCCATTGACATGCAGAGTGACTTCCTTTAGAGAAACAAAGCAACAAGCTGAAAAAAAGACAGCAAGAATGAAGGTTGAAAGACACTAACTGCAGCAAGGAAAAAGTGATGGCAAACAACAACATAACAATTGATGGAAGCAAAAAACATTATGATTTATAAATGTCAAAGTCTGAAAACAAAGGGCTTTTCTCATGCCTCAAATATGTGATACTGCCAAAACTGAGAAGCTATAGGAGGCCAGACAGCCAACATGCAACCACAAATGTGTACATCACAATTTCTTATCAGTTCAAATCAACACATGTCTATTTGATCACTTTGATCAACATTAAGCTAACAAACTGAGAACCTATGGACTCACATTACAAATCAATTCAGGCTGGATTTAGTGGGACATTAAAATGTCTACTTCCTACTTTCATGTATATATTACGAGTACTGTATTTGATGTGTTTGATTTGATAAGTATTTATCAGCGCATGCCTAATATTGAAAAAGACAAAAGGGTTGCTGGTGATATATATAAAAAAAAAAAATGCAGTTTCCTCTTTGCGAAGTAAACATTAAAGTCTAAATGGCCTACTTTAACATGTGTAGAAAATTACCATGGACATCCTATAATGTTGAAAATGTCAATTCAGTCTAATCAGCTTTGTCCATGTCAGAAGGCATGACTGAATAATAAACGCAGAAGAATTGGGCGAAGGACTTAAAATAACCAAATCTTAAACACTCAATAAACACTATTTTCTTCAATATACTCTATGTTACAAAAGATAGGAAAGAAAAAACTGCTTAAGGATCCATTATCGATTATACAAAATGTAGTGTCTGAAGACAATCATCTGAAATAAGCTATCTGTAAATACTTTGAATGATTACCAATACAAAGTCCGACAGGGCAAGAAATGAGCAGTTCAATGATCAGACAGATTGTCAACAAGCCAACAATTTACCCAGATTATCTGAGCCACTTGTTGTGAAACTTAAAGTTCAAGTATGATTTAAGTTAAAATCCTTATTTACAAAAGGAAAACTGTGTGTTCGCACAATTACTGCAAATATCGCAGGTCAATTTGCAAGGAGGAAAGCGTAAGCTGTGATGATGCTTCGTAGCAAACCTGGGCCTTTGTTCAAAACTGGGTTGAGTTCAACCTTGTGTCATTCATCACTCTACAAAGTAGTCACTCTTAGTAAAGCAAGCGTGTATGTATCTGTGTGTATGAAAGTGGTTTATTATATTGTGTGTGTGCATATATATATATGTATTTGTGTGAGTGGGAGTGTATTTTTATAATGTGCCTCTGAGGGTGTGGGTTCATCTCCTGAGAGAAGAAAATAACTCTTTTGGCTCTGAGGCTGAAAACAATAACACAAAAGAACACTCAAATGGCCATATTAAACATGTTCCACAAGCCATTACAACAAAGACAGATACTAACTTTAGGTCCATGCAAGGATATGGGCCACTTGCCTTTAGTGTTCAGTGTTATGTTGTCTCATGGAAAGGGGGGCTGGTTGTTCTATAAAAAGGATGTTTAACAAGAGAAACTAAACTATACTTCAGCACCTTTCAACAGTATTCCAATAAAAAAATGCTCAGCGTGCAGAGTTAATCTTAACAGCAGGGTTTGATCAACGAGCGATGTTGTTCTTTTTCCCTGGCAGTGTACGTCATCAAATGGAAGAACAAAAAGACCTGCCATGGAAAGGATTCATTAGATCTGCTGGGGTGCATGTAGCTATCGACGGCCGTGACTTTCATACCATGTCTTTCTTAACTAATTGGATAACTGCAGGACTTACAGTTTTTACAGAATACCTGAGTATTAAAGCAGCTCCCATTGCGTTTATTTTTTCTGTTATGAAATAATAATTGGCTTTAAATCTTTTTTATAAATAACAATGAGGTCAGAGCATTGAGAGCTTTAGAAAAAAAAAAGTCAATCCTTTTTTGTTTTAATATGTACAAAACACTCTATATTAACAAGTTCATATCATGTTGAGATAGAAGAAAGAAAGGATTGCTGCTGTGATACATTTCCTGTCTCATTCTTACATTTCTGTGCACTTTTCCATCTGTGAACTCATGGATTTATTACTCAAACCAGCCTGCTAGATATTATTTCAATGCCGTATATATATATATAAGGAATTTTGCAATATTGAACAATTCTGCCAAATCCTAGACATTGTATCTGTTCAATGGCCATGTTTTAATTTCAAGATAGCTGGTAAGGTTATAGAAAGATCATTATTATAGCAAATCAATAATGGTTAAGGTATATATAGATTAAGGCAAAGTAAACAATAAGATAAGCTTATGTTATGGGTAGTAAACAATAAAAAACCATGCACACTATCTCCAGCCTTGGCACTGGACAGGAAGATGTATTTTTGTTCATTGTCTTATCAAACAAATCATATGCTGTGAAAGCTCTAGCGTAGGCAACATAGGTTATAGAGTTAGGATGATACACACAATATTAGTTTTCCTTCTATGTAACTAACAACTATTGTCTATTGCAGCGGTTCTCAAACTGTGGTCCGCGGACCAGGGTACTGCAGGTGGTCCGTGGAAAAAAGTGTAATAAAATCCACTTTTTATTATCAAGGATTTTCGCGGACCACCTCATATATGCAAACTATAAAATGAGTACATATATATATTAACGTAGTGTTAAAACGCAGATATTTGTTATTGTTAATTATGGACAACACTTAATTTCACCACTGGTTACCCATGGTTACGTGTGCGCGTGCAAAACCACAAACATGGATCGGTGGCTAGCATCAGGTTCTCTGAAGAGAAAAGAGGTTAACGTTACCGTTAATGAAGATAATGAGAGTGAGTCAGAGGCATCTACAACCCAGATTCCGCGGGAAAAAACTAAGAAAGGGAAGAACTACTTGGAACTGGGATTTACCTACACACACACACACTGAAGATGAGCCTTTGCCAGTATGCGTTCTGTGCTACGAGACACTGGCTAACGAGAGCCTAAAACCAGCTAATCTTCGCTGTCAATCTTGGAATCTGGCGTGTAGATGCCTCTGACTCACTCTCTATCTTCATTAACGATAACGTTAACCTCTTTTCTCTTCAGAGAACCTGATGCTAGCCACCGATCCATGTTTGTGGTTTTGCACGCGCACACGTAACCATGGGTAACCATTGGTGAAATGAAGTGTTGTCCATAATTAACAATAACAAATATCTGCGTTTTAAGACTACGTTTATATATGTACTTATTTTTACGGTTTGCATCGGTGGTCCACGAAAATCCTTGATAATAAATAGTGGTCCGCATAAACAAAAAGTTTGAGAACCCCTGGTCTATTGTATACAAATGCATGGACGTACAGGGTATCAGCTTATTTATAGTTCTTACTATAATCTCCAGGGTGAACACATAAGTGATAAATAGCTTACTGACTGTGCACGGTACAATTATTTCCCAGGATTGTATTTACTACTCTGACCTGTGAAAGTTTCATGTTGGCTTTACAGGATTTAGGAGACAATGGTGTCAAAGCTGAAAGATCACTACAACCAAATGTAACAGTCACCTTTACACTTACTGTAAAAGCCAAAATGTTGTTGTGCTCAATGGTATTTTTCTATCAATATGCAGGTAACCATTTTAGGAACATACATATCAAAGACTGTGCTTCACAGGCCTTGTTTGGCCTGCACTCTGGGGCAAACATAGTGGAACAAACCAGGAAACATAACTGTGAAAATCTAAAACTGATGTCTCTTTTTTCTATTCTGTTCTACTCGAGTACAAACACTTTAAGTACCTTAGTGTATATTCTGATTCACTAACCATTCCCACCTTTGTCATCTCCACTGGTTTTACTCTTATGAAACAATGTGCATATCAGATGTCAGGGATTTCTTGTAGATATCCGTTTACATGTATGTATAAAATATGTGTATGTACAGATGCATTGAATTAATATATTATCATGAATACAAGCCTAAATGTTTGAATACGGGAGGAAGAAATCCCTTGCAGTGTTTTGAAATTGGGGCCCATCGATTCTTCCATCAGCTATACCGGCTTATCTTTGAGAAGGCTGCGAGGGCTGCGTGGGGAGTTTTATTTTTCTGTTATTTCAGCTTCTGACTGACTTTAAAGCGTTTCCATAAATATTTCTTATTATAAAGATTTAGTGCAAAACAGCTTCCAGGTATGTGAGATCTAATTCCTTTAGCTCCTTTAATAGGCTGCTGAGAACAGGTTAGCCGTAGACTTACAGTATATAACACAGCCATAATGGCCATTGTATTTGACCACTATCAGTTAAGCTCTTTTTCACCACCATGGCGTGTTGGGACACAATGATCCAAGTGGGAATTATATTCTGTTATTTATATATATGTACAACGGAGCCATTACATATATACTGTATATTGGTATACATTGTATATGCAGCCTCTACGAAGGTGACTGTATCTACCTCCCAAATAATCATGGAATGTATTTGTGGCTCTCTGAATTTGAATTAAAGATATGCAGAACTTAATATGCTTGACACTTTATATTGAGAAATACAAGTACAAGAAGTGTTTGATGTGATTACAGCCACTTGGATAAGTAGTTTACTGCAAGCATGCATAATTACAGAGAAATTAAAGTGCTGATATGTTGGAATTGTGCATGAAACGGCTTTAGCTGGATGCAATTATCATTTGCCCCGGCACAAAGAAATCCTTGTTGTCATTATAACAGTGTTAGGAATCTACACTTTTAAAAAATAAACATGTTTATCGGAGCTCTCTTTACTTTGTTAATCTACCATGGCAAGGAGCGTCCTTGAAACAAGACTTCTATCTTAGACATGAGACTGCATCAGCAGGAATATTATGTAGGAAGTGTTTATAATGCACTTCTTGAATTCTCCAAGCCTACGCTGGGTCTGAACGATGTGATATCCTATACTTACTCTCTATATGTCTGTGATAATCCGCTGTAAATAAAGCTGAATGTGATCAGGAGGATGCCACAATAATCTGAATCA